GCATTGGCGAGGCCCAAGTGGGACACTCCATTCAACCGGGCGTTGAACATATTGAAACAACAACCGGTGGATACTCGACCGTCGCATGGACGCGTGCACGGTGTCGAAGATGGTGCCACGTGGAAGAAGTACTACCGTGAGACCACGGAGGAGAGAAAGGAAAGACAGAGGTTAACTGAAGAAAACGTCGACAAGAAGGTTGAGATTGCGGTTGAGAAGAAATCATCTCAGACAGTCGCAACAGCGGTAGCTGCCGCAAAACAGGTGGTTGCAGATTTGTCTACTTCCTTGGTGACGGGCGTTACCACTTGGACAAGGCAAAATCCAGAAAAAAATCCAGAGGACTTTCCCCTTGCTGACTTCTTGGGAGCACCTGCTCCCGCACCGTCTCCCGCACCTGCTCCCGCACCAGCTCCAGCACCTACTCCCGCACCGGACGTGCTCGGCAGTGCTTCGTCTTTGGCTGAGCTTGACGCCCTCACGGTATCTGTCACACCGGCCCCCTTCAATATAAATGTATAATCTCCCGTTTTCGTTTCCTTTCGGATGTCTCATGTCGCAGACTTTTCTTTGCAGGCCGATGAAACCCCGTGCACCATATTGTACACCATCGGCGACCAGAAGGTGGACGCGGGGAAGGCGACGATAATGGAGCCGAAGGAACCATTGTTCCACAGCCGGCCGACCCCCCCCCCCCAAACGTCTTCAAGGTTTCCGTGGCTAGTGTCGAACCGGGCCACGAGAATTTGCCTCCTCCAACACTACTGGTGGATGACGAGGAGACACCGCGGCGGCTTGGTGATTGTTGCAATGGGTGGGTCCTATTGTGTCCAAAGAGTCTGCTTCATCTGGAGACGGTCGGGAGCACACCCACGAGCACGCAGCCTCAGCAAGGTATGAACATCAACACCCCCACCTACCCAATTAGCATCGGGTGTCGGGTTGGGTGATAGCGGACGGGGTAAGGAGGAGGCTCCATTAGTTGCTGATGACGTCGCCATGGATGAGGATGAGGACGACGGTGGCGCTGAACAGTATGTCTATACTGGCGCCTCCTCAGGGTTTGGGGACGACTAGCGAAGATCACTCTAGTTAGGGCATTTTGGGTACGATGAACTTTGTTATTTATGCTTATAATATGTTGTTTCTATTTTTGCCAAGTCTGTCTCTTTCTGTTGCTCAACTATATATATTGCATATCATCGACTCATGTGATGATGCAGGTGCATAGATCATCGATGGCGAAGAAGTGCTATGCCAGGAGTATATATACGACGAGTGGCCGGAGTGTCAGGCCCAGGTGTTACCGGTTTCCGGTTTCCGAGCGATAGGCAGTAGTTAGTTTAGGTTCACGCTAATGCGAGAGAGGGATACGAACTCATGTACTCAAAGTGATAGCTCTTCTCGCGTATACCATTGTTTAGATGGATGACGATGTATTTGCAAGTAATCGAGGACTTGTATCGCTATTTTCGAGATGATGACGAGAGACCACTTTGTGTTGGATAATGATTATGATAATGCCATAATTTGATGAGACTGATTGTATGTATATGCTATGATTACATTTGTATGTGTATGATATGCTAAAGATTATTGTATAAAGCCTATTCAAATACAAAACAAATACAAAAACAAATATGCGGGAAAAAACTAATAAAACTAGTAGTAGCGAGGGGGGAAATTTAGCAGTAGCGCCTCATTACCAGTAGCGCTTCCCGGTAAACATCGCTGCAGATAATATCAGCAGCGCCCTTTTCTAAACAGCGCTACAACTATTCATGTATAGCAGTAGTAGCGTGGGACGACAGGCGCTACTGCTATACGTTAGCTGTAGCGCCTTATTAGTAGCGCATGTACCCGCGCTACTGAGAGGCCCAAAACACGCGCTGCTGCTAGGCTTTTCTCTAGTAGTGAAACTACGTGTTGTTTGTGTAACAACAACATCATAGGCAACCAAATAGCATGATAAAAATTGCTTCCCTCATGCACACAACTTAATGCAGACAACCAAACTACATGCAGATGTTGGTTTTTAGCCTACATTAGCTCGGAAAAAAAATCCTATACGGGCTGGTCGTACACTGCTGAACAGGAGATCCTCTCCAACGTCTGACAGCTGGCAATACGAATCTCAAAGTAGCAGCATCTCGTTCCCCACTGCCCCACTTCATCGTTTCCAAATCGCGGTTCCTCTAATCTGTTCAATCTATCCAAAGCTTCCAAAAACCAGCCGCCGGTGTGCTCCTTGACGCCGGCCGTGCTCCTGGCGCCTCCACTCACGGCATCGCCAACGTATTACGGAGGTTGCATGCACCACTTGGCCGTGTCCATGCTTCTCGCTGTCAGTGTCTAACTCGCTGTTTCTCGACACCGGGGTTCACTGATGACTCAGCTGCTAGCTCTCATTTATTTTTATGTCATGGAGTTCGTTGCCATGGCCGACTGCACAGCTCAACCGCCGTCGACAATACCTTGTGTAGTTCGTCGCCATGGCTTACGTCACGCGTGACGGAGCAGATGCCGCACATCCACCGCCGACGAGGTGTAGCCAGCGCAGGTACATCGAAGACGGCGGCGACGTGCCCAGTGCCTGGTTGTGCGGCACGGCCGCCGCCGGCGAGGGGTCGTCAAATAAAGAATGGATGGGGATCGGGAAGACTAGGGATAACAGAGGCACTGGTGCTTTGAGATTGGCGTATACACACGTGTCACGGATCAGAGTGGGTCTCATCTGGGGGAGCGTACGACCTGGGTTGTATAAGATTTTTTTCTCATTAGCTCAAACGGGCCCAACTGGGACAAGTATGCAAAATGCCCTAAAACAGAGATATGAACCAAACGCATCCTTCGCGTCGTGGCTGTGGCGCCTAGGGGGGCACGTAGAGCTCTTCTGCTGTCGAGGGAGTCGCCCGGGGGGCAGGTCGACGCTCGAGTCGTGTTGCCCGTGAAGTTGATGATGTGAGCTCGGCGATGTTTCATCCGCCGAGGTCGGACGCGGTGGAGCTCCTCGAAGCACTGCTGGCTCCGGCGGCGAGCGTCTCGTGCGAGATCTACATGCACAGGCGCGATGGACGTCGATGCAGTCGCGCCACACGTAGCCGCCAGAGAGTCGATGGAGTGCTCGATGCCCCTGCTGCGATTTCTGCGCTGATCTCACCGGATTTTGAGCACCATGGGATTTATTTGTGGCTAAAGAAAAATCAATCTACTCAAATTTCAAAATTTGGAATTGATCTAATCTAAGGAATTGATCTAATCTACAAGACTGGAAATTCGAAATTGATTCTAATCTAATCTAAAGAACCGATAAGATATTTGGTCTAGATCAGGTGAAGTGCCCCCCGGGGAGAGGAGATTAATCTTCTCGGGAGCTGCCGTTGTGGAAGTGGTGGAAGATCTTAGAATCGGCGTCATTAGACAAACTGCTCTAATACTATGTAGAAAATATAGGATGACTGGAATTGTTGTTGTATATTGTGACCCTCATATGTGCTATATATAGAATATGTTAGGGTTAGAGGCTTGGAGTACAAGACAAGTAATACATGGTTTAAACCTATTTAATCTCTACTCCTTATCTCTATCTTTAAACCTAAATTATATTCTAATAACAGCCCTCTTGGCCAGTCACATCGCGTCATCAACGCCGGCCGTTGTGTGCTCTGGGCCGATGTTGATGTGGCGCGGGAAGCGGTGCGTGCATCAGAAGAAAAGCGCGGAAGAGGCGGGCGTTTTTTTGGATTGGCCAGGGCAGTCAAGCGTGGGCGTGGCAGCGGGCCGTACGCCCGCAACCCCCCTCCCACGTTTGTCTCCGATTCACGGGAAAATGACGTCCGGACCGCTCGGCGGACCGATTCAGACGTTGGATGACACAACACGTCTAGACCGTACGATCTGGATGTATGCGGATGGTTTGAGGGTCCATATTGGAGATGCCTTATGTGATGTGTGTGCGTGCTCGCTCTCTTGTGTTGCTATTTCTTGGTCAACTGCTATACATCAGATGAAAATAATGAGCTGGAAAAGCAGGGGCATCTCGTTTATATTTAAGTGTTTTTCAACAGCCCACTTCATTTTGAAATTAGAGTCGCTTGCAGGAAAAGTAGTAAAGTCAAAATGAACATCTTTAAAACAAATTTGTTTTGTAAAGCAGTGATAATCCCCACTTCATTCTCTAATACTCCCTCCGTCCCAAAATAAGTGACTCGGCTTTGTACTAGTTTTAATACGAAGTTAGTACAAAGTCGAGTCACTTATTTTAGGATGGAGAGAGTAGTAGCCTTGTTGTCCTCTGTCGACTCCCTAGCTGCCTACCAGAAACAAACAAAAGAATTGAATTGGAGACATCAAGTAGACAATCCAGTTTCACAAGTTGGCGTGGCTGGTTCATCTGCTCTGCATTTCCCTTGTACAGTATTGTCATTTGCTCTCGAGGTGCTATCTGTTAACTGGGCTGAGACGAGCTAACTAAACCAAATCCTCTATAAAACAGGTCGTGCTTTCCAGTTTGAGCAAGTTGTAAAACTCTGACGAAACAGCAACTGAGAAACATTCAGAACACGCATGGGTCCCAGGTGGCAGAGAGACGACGTGTTGTTTTCCATGCTCTGCTCTTATCAACACCTAGTATGGTGCCCCTTCGCCTCTATGATGCTACTGTTCTCTTTTATTCCTACCAATGAAAAGATACGCAATTATTTGTGCATTCATCAGAAAGGTAACATTTTATGAACTCGTGAGAAATTTCAATGAACTCGTCAAAAATAGATAGAGACACTTCTCTAGTTTCTCAGCTATAGAATGATGCCCTTTTTTTATCTCTCGAAAATGACCCTGACCTCTGCATCGATCAATGCACACAACCATCGTTGTTATAGACACATCGAAACCTAACACATCACCGCCGTAAGAAAGAAAGAAACAAAAAAGAAAGAAAACTAGAACAAACAACATTGGCCGAATCAAAGGCCTGGATCACTACAGAGCATCCGCAGTTTTTACAAGGCGGCTAAGTCGTCGTCATAGCTGCCGCTGGCGACGGAGATTATCTGCACCTCGTCGTCATCGTCGATGACGTCGACGAACACGGCATCCTCCTCTTGGTGGCTCGGCACCTCCGCCGCCGGCGGGAAGAGGACGACGTCCGGGCCGGCGGCCGGCCCGGTGTTGCCGCTGGCGTTGAGCTGGTCCTCGAACATCTTCTGCAGCCTCTTGCCCTGCTCCTCGATCCTCACCTGCAGCTTCCGCTGTATCTGCCGACGCAACACCCAAAGGAGCAACCAAGTTAGACAAATCGCATATACTTTTTCACTGACAAACATACGTACAACAGGGCGTAGCTAGACTAGAGCCTAATTTTCTCTTTGGTATATGTATGTATATGGCAACTTGGCAAGCACCTCGAGCTGCTCGTGGAGGCGGCGCTGCACGTCGAGCTGGACGCGGAGTGCTTCCGTGATGTGCATCCCACTGCACAAAGAATCGGCATCGCCATCGGCAGTAGTTAGTGGTAATATATGTAGTACTAGTGTGTGTATGTTATGCATGACACATCAGGAGCAAACACATGGGTTCCGCTAAGACGGAGGGGGAAAAGCTAGCGATTAGTAGAAAGAAAGATACGTTTTCGGGTCCAGTTCATGCTGGGTGTCGCTTCCGGCGGCCCTCTTCTCGTGCTGCCTCCCTGCGATTGGACAAGGGACAGGATGGATGAGTCACCAGTGAGCGCAGGTGTCACTGCCCGGTAGGATGCATGCATGCTTGGAGGACGAACGGCGACGTGATGGGTAGATCAAGTATGGTGGTAGTACCTTCGGATGACGACGACGATGAAGATGGTGCCGGCATGTACTTGGCCATCCGGTATTTCTGTGAGAATGAAATTGATTATGTTGGATCGAAATTAATCAGACTCAACAGGAGTAGTAACAACAAGATATGATGTTGAGAATTACTATTACTCCATGGACACAAGCCAGTCGATGTACCTGGAGGTGGCTCTTGATGTGGTAGATGGTGAGGCCGTCCGAGTTCATCAGCTTCAGGATCCCCTTCGGGGTCGCCCCTGCAAGTTTATCAAGTGTTGGTTAGACGCCGTGAGAAATTAATGGCCGGCTCCACGCGTCGGCACGATGGACGGCAACGGCAAGTAGGAGGAGTGGTTTTTTCTTTTTTGGGATCGAGAATAGTAAAGTACGCACTGTCCGCGCCGCCGAGCTTGCTCACGCAGTCCACGAACCGCTCGTGCAGCTCCGGCGTCCACCGGATCCGAGTCTTGCTCGGCGGCGGCGGCGCCGGAGGCGCTGACACGCTGCCGGTGCCGGTGGGGGTCGCCGGCGCGCCGACGCTGCTCCTGGCGGACAGGTGGCTCTCCATCTGGCTCAGCAAGCTGCTGCTGCTCGGCGCCTCCATCGACGGGACCTTCAGAGATTTCGGATGGAACGTCAATCACCATCAAGAGAGCTTGTAGGGACCGAAGGATCTACCCATCCATGGCTGCCTGCTTGTACTCTAGCTCACTTACATGGGGTGAGAACGAGTGCGGTTTGATGGCGGGGGCGTTGCCGAACAGGCCATGGTGCGCGCTTTCTTGCTGCTGCGGTTGCGGTGCCAGCAGTGGCAGCTCCAGCTCTACCGGGTCCCGCCGCTGCTGCGGCCTCACGTAGTACGTCCTCACGGACGGCGACTGGTCCGCGCGGAGCATCACCGGGTCGAGCTCGTGCGACATGTACATGTCGCCGCTCTCCGGCCGCGTCCTGGCCGCCACCGCGGGCATCATCGTCGCCGCCGGCGGGAGCATCCCGAGTGGAGCGCCGTCGAACTGCCCGATGCCGAGCAGATGCTCGGCCGCGTAGAACGCCGCCGTGCTTGAGCCGACGCAGCGCTGCGCGAACGCCGACCTCTGCGGCGCCGCGTAGTACTCCTCGCGCGCCCAGCCGGCGCCTGCCCCGCCGTGGTGCTGCTGCTGCTGCTGAAACCCGGCGCTCATGAACAGTTCCTGGTGCGACGTCGGGAGTCCGGTGGAGGATGCGGAAAGCTGCCTCGCCTCGGAGCTCGGGTTGCACAGCGGCATCATCCCGTCGCAGTAGCGGTCGTGCAGCCTAATCTTCTTGGCCTGGTTCTTCGAAGTTGGAGTGTTAACTGAACAAACAATCAAAGACAGAAAACAGCACCATTAATCCATGGCTTAATTTCACCGCGCGCGAGCTTAACAGCTCAGGAATTCACAGATAACACGCATGCATCATGATGCATCGAACATTATGCGATATCGACCTGAAAACATCAAGACCTGCTTCGCGAGGACGAGAATTGGAGGGGGGAAGAAAGATTAGCGGGGCCGCGGGCGCTTAAATATGGCGCGCTAGCTGCCCGCAAGTGCAAGCTAGGTTCGACCGGAATCGATGCACAGCACAGCACCAACCGGCCTAGATTCCCCGGAGGCGTGGCACGCAACACGACGGGAATAATTCGCCGACGGGCACACCCAAAATCTTCGGAATCGCCAACGTTCCAGCCGTTCGTTGCCGCCGCTGCCGACGATCCAGCCGGAGAAAGGAAGCAAGCAAAGCACGGCAATGCAAGTTGGAACAAGGGAATAGTTTCCTTACCCGTACGCATATGATCACCAGCAGCTAGGAGCGGCTAATTGCGACCTGAGCAAATATTCACACCGCCACGAGCCATGGAAACTTCCTGCTGCTGGCCAAAAACTATCTATCTATCCCTCTCTCTATATATGAAAATATATGTCCAAGTTCACGGTGTATCCGGAGGAAGGATTGGAATCTGGAGGAGAATTGGGAAGCAGGAGTGGGTGCGGAGGTGGCTCCTTTTTCTCATCCCAAATGGAATATGATCGGCTAGCTGCGCTGGGTGGGGGGTTCCTAATGGGGGCAACCCTGACAGGAATATAAAGATGCAAAGAGGGAGAGATATATATCGCGTTCTGGCATGCCAGACAAGGGAGTAGGGGACAATTGGCCACTTTGGAGGTTTCGCCCTCCCCACATTCCGTCTCCTTTTGCATTGCTAGCTTTGGCCCTCCCCTCACGGTCACCACACATCAGCCTCTATCTCATCCATCCACCTCCAAATTTCCCTATGTTGAACCCTTCTTGGTGCTGCTTTTGTCTTTTGAAATCCCAACAAGGGACGAATGGACAGCAAGACCAGGAAACCTTTTCTTGGATGTGATGTGCACCCGTACGTGTACGCATCTGAATCATACATGTAAATTACGAGAGCCGCGGCGACGAAAGGGACGGAATTAGGCAGAATTATTCCGCACCGAAAATAACACGGTGAATTACGCAGCGCGAAAAATGCACGATAGCCAAAAGCTAAATGTGTTTTGTTCTTACTAATACGGTGAGATCGATCGGCTCATGCTTTCGATCGTCTCCTTTATTACAGTCACCGTCGAAGAAGACGCCTTTTTTGTTTCTCATTTGGTTTACTGTAGTATGCAGCCTTTAGGAAACATACTATAGCTAGTTGCACACCACATACTTAAGTGATGCTTGATTCTAGTTGGTCCAAAATATCTTTGTCGTAGAAGAGTGTAACATCTTGCTGGCATAGTTGTACAAGCATAGTGCATATCTAGAAGTTTGGCATAGTAGAGTGCAATTTGGCTCCTAGGCTCCACGGGGTCCAATATTAAAATAACATAAATCAATATGTTTTAAAAAGTAAAAAATATATATATGATATTTTCCCCTTTCAACACATACATATAGACGTTTACGCCTCTGTAAAGTTTTATTAAAAATATACATTAGTTTATAACCTGCACAAAAAACAATTTTATGGATCCACAACACTCCCTCCGTCCCATAATATAAGAGTGTTTTTGACACTTATGTAAGTGTCAAAAATGCTCTTATATTATGGGACGGAGGCAGTAGTAAATAGTAAATCTGTTTGTGGTCCACATAAATTTTTTTTGCATAGCCCACAACTTAAAATATATACTCATTCAAAACTGTATGTGCATTATTCATGTTTGTATATGCATCTATTTTTCAGTTTTTTAAGGCTCCAAAATGAACATACGTGGAGTTCTATGTGTTGTCACGAAGTAACATGGACATATATATGGAGTTTTCATGCTTAAAATAAACACATACCAACTGTGCACTTCCCAAACCAAACAAAAGCAATCTCCAAAACATATCTTGGGCCATAGTGTGTTAGTCAAGGAGATAGATATGAGAGGAATCCAGTTCAAGGAGGTGAAATTCAGTCATGAGTGGAGGAATTTGAAAGGTGAAGCTCATAGCTCAACCGGTAAGATGGAGCTGCAAAGTCTAGCATGGTTACCACATACTTAAGTGATGCTTCATTTTAATTGGTGCAAGTATATTTGTAATAGTAGAGTGCAGCCCTTGCTAGCATAATTGTACATACTTAGTGTATATCTAAAAGTTGTCATAGTAGAGTACAACTTGGGGCTCCACAATATTTTTAAAACTAAAACGAAATGCATTTTGAAAAGTATTTTTTTGAAGTTTTCAACTCATACATATACATAAGACATGTTATATATCTCTATAAAGTTTTATTTCAAATGCATTAATTTTCCTTTTCAAAAAACAAACTAAACTGTAAGCTATGCCAAAAGACAAATATATGAATCCTATCATAGGAAAAATAGTAAATAAATTTTGTGTCCACATATTTGTCTCTCTTTTTTTGCTTAATCCCCAACTTCAAAATATATATTTGTGGAACGTATATGCACATTCGTTACATATGGATATACATATTTTTTAGGCTATTTAAAGTTAAAAACTCCCGGACTCCATGGAGCCCGCGGTTGCTTTATATTTTTCACAGAAACAGGGTTTATAATCAAGACTGATTAACTGTGCACTTAACTTCATGGTTGATTATTAAACTTCTTTCTTTGTTTGCTAAGAAACTTAGAAGCTCTAGAGAAATGTGTATTCGTATGGATGTAGTTCATGGTATTTAATGGCAACACATAAAAATCCATCTATGGTTTACACAAAAAAGGCAGTAGATGAAAAATAGCACCACACCAACATACACTTATCTTTTGTTGTTTTATAAAAGACACAAATGGTTAATGAATATATATTTTTGCATGTTATGTCATAGAATTACCTGCATCCATGATTGTTCTCAATTATTTTCTCCTTCCAAAAAATAGAGTGCTTGGACCCAATATAAGATGATGATGCAATGTTGATAATTCTCACTAACATGATCATTCTTTATATTAAATAGATGAGTACTTCCTCTACAACGGAACAAGCATGTAGTCCTGCTCACACATGAACAAAGGTGACAAGGGTTCCTCCTTAGTCCT